GTTTCTTGGCATGGGCCCCCACTGCAACGTTGCCTCTGAGCGTCTGCCCCCCTCCCCCCCCCGCGACGCGACTGCCGCCGCCGCCGGAGGGACCGCCCCCCCGCAGGGGCCCCCTCATGTGACAGCCGCGGGGCACCCCTCGCGCGGGGTTCCGCGCACGGGGGGGGGGCGGGGGGAGGGGAGCAGCAGGAGAGCAGGAGCAGGAGGCGGAAAAGAGGTGCGAGAGGAGGAGAGGGCGAGAGGAAGGGAAGGGCGGAAGGGGACGAGGCAGGGTGGAGGAGGCGGGGACGGAGCAGGAGAGAGGAGGAGGGAGGAGGAGGAGGAGGGGGAGAGAGGAGAGGAGGAGGAGGAGGAGGAGGAGGAGGAGGAGCAGCGGCAGCGGCAGCAGCAGCAGCAGGGGAAGAGGAGGCAAGAAGGCCTCCCGGCTTCTGAGGAAGCCTTCTCGGGCGCCCCGCAAGAGGCTGACCACCCTCGGAGCATGTAGCGTTGCGCCCCTCGCGCCACCCCCGCGCAGAGAAAACGCCGCCACTTCTGCGGACCCCTCGTCGGAAGGAGATCTCGGTGGGAACGGCAGGAGGGAACCGGCTCGGGGGAGGGGCTGGGATCGGCGACGCGTCACTCCCCACCCTCGGAGGGAGGAGGAGGAGGAGGAGGAGGAGAAGGAGGAGGAGGACGAGGAGGAGGAGGAGGAGGAGGAGGAGGATGAGGATGAGGATGAGGAGGAGGAGGAGGAGGAGGAGGAGGGCTCAGGGGGAACGGTCGGAGGCAACTGGCTCGAGGGGGGGGGGGGTGACACCGGCGATGCGCCGCTGACGGCAATGGGCGACGGGCCCCCGACAGCGAACCCGCCTGCTCCCGGACGGGGTGGGCTGTCGAGCTCCTACCTCGGGGGCGCGCAGGCACGGATTGGCGATCCATGGACTTGGCGCGCGGTCGCCACATCCCTGGATCGGGGGAGATGCCCCCCCCCCCCAAAATGCGGCCGGCGCCGCCTCGCTCCGCGGCGGAAACCCGGGATCTCCAATGGAAACGGGACCCGAGGCTAATTCACGTCCCCTTAATCCATGTTCGCGATCGTCGGACTGCCGTGACACATGGGCGGCTGGGGGCGGGTGCGTTCCCCCCGGGGTCCGACTTTCGCGCCACAGCGCTGGGCCTCGACCAGCGTGGACGAGGCCCGCCCCCGGAACGCCCTCGAGGAGGCGCAGCTGACGGAAATCATCCTGGGTCTCGTAAGCTCTCGAGGCTTCCCAAACCCGCCGATCTGCCCTGAGATCCGACGTCGCGAACAAAATGCAGCATCGCCGAAAATCACGACCGGAGCCCTCGAACCCAGACGCCATCTTTCCGCGGCACTTTCCGAGCCGGACCGATCTGTGATGGACCTGAACCTAAAACCTGGTTGTACTCTTTTTATGTAATGGTTCTGCTAAAAAACGGCGCGCATCGCTGGGGGAGACCTCAGTCGCAATCTAAGCGCTGGCAGCTGGCACCAGGCAGCGCGACGCGTGACCAGTACAGTGTCACCAGGGCCCGAGGAGAAGGGACGAGGATGGGCAAGGAGGACGGAAGGCAAGCACAGAATTCGGGGGGCAAAAACTGGGTGGTGTCTGCACCGGGGGATGCTACAGCCCAAATCCCATAGCAAATGCGGGCGCAAGGTAAGGCTTCAAGACCCTTGAAGTCCCGTTTGCCATTTGGAGATCCATCGACGTCAACATCGGCTAAGGATGGGCAGACGAAGCAGCGATGCAAGGGTAGCCTTGATAAAGCAGCGCATCCTTGCTATGGATTTTGATTGTGCTGTCCATCACCGACATACCATGAATAATGCCTATCGCACGAGCATCAGCTTTCGGAGGGCCAAGAAATCAATGTTCATACTTTGCGCAGACTTGATACAGCATGAGAATCATGACAAGTGCGTGGGCCCCCCTCCCTGGCGCCGCCCGCGCGCCAGAGAGTGGGCCCGACGACGACGACGACGGCGGCGGCGACGACGGGGGCAGGATGGGCGTGCACGGTTTCCCCCGGGGCCGCAGGCGACCCGAGGAGGAGGAGGAGGAGGAGGAGGAGGAGGGAGGAGGGAGGAGGAGGAGGGAGGTAGGAGTGAAGAAGGAGGGAGGAGAGGAGGAGGAGGAGGAGGAGGCGGAGGAGGGGGGGAGAGGGGAGGGGGAGGGGGAGGGGAGGAGGATATGGAGGAGGAGGAGGAGGAGGGGAGGAGGAGGAGGAGGAGGAGGAGAGGAGGAGGAGGCGGAGGAGGGTTGAGGAGGAGGGAGGAGGGGAGGAGGGAGGAGGAGGAGGATGAGGAGGGAGGAGGAGGGAGGAGGGGGATGGAGGAGGAGGAGGAGGGAGGAGGAGGAGGGAGGACGGAGGAGGACGAGGAGGAGGAGGAGGCGGAG